CTTCGGGGATTAATAAAGTCTATTTATCTCTCTATCATAACCCCCACTGAGCGTGAACCATATCAATATCTGTCTAAATAAACCCCATACTGTGCAGCCTTTGAACTTACTGGAGCAGTGCAGCTTGACTGGAGGAAGGCACAGTTCTTTGGCAATGTCTGTGTTCTTGATCCTCAGAGCTTCGTCCACCTGCACGGAGGACAGCAGACTTATGGGCTGCTCAACAGAGAAGCAGGACTGTATCAACCCATAACGTGGTTGCACCAAAAAAAACAACTCACCGACTTCCCCTTCACCCACTCTGTTGCTAGAGAACTGGAGGCAATGGCCGATCCGCAGCCAAATGTCTTAAATCTTGCATCCACGATTTTGCCATTGTCGTCCACCTGGATCTGGAAGACAACATGTGAAGCTCTTTAAAGGCCCATGACAGCAGTAAATAACAATAACCCTCTTTTCAAAGTCAAAGTCAGCTTTACAGTCAATTATATCACATGCACCAGACATATAAAGGTAATCTAGAGGACGTTTCTCACTCTGCCACGATGAAACAGACAAGACATACTCCTAATACTAAAAAGCAAACATGCAATTACACAACAGACTAAAATATACAACAATATAAAATGTTGCTCTTGACCTCCAGCCTACCTGAAGCTTCATCACGTCACCACAGGCTGGTGCACCCACCAAACCAGTCCCCACATTCTTGGAGTTTTTGTCCAGAGATCCCACGTTTCTCGGGTTTTCATAGTGGTCCACCACCTTGGGGAGGGACAGACAGGAGATAATATATCACTGCTCAAGTCAGCTACGCCTATAGCTCCTGTCGCCATAGGTAACTGTCAATAAAGACACTTACCGGCTGCTTACAGTTATGAGTCGACCGTTTTTTTAAAAAAACACGTGTGTTTGTTTACCTTCTCGTGATATGAGCAGAGCGCGTCGAGCTGCGGGCTGAACAACCTTCTGCTGAACAACAACAGCGAGGACGCACAGCTTCGTAGAGACGCAGTCGCCATTTCTCAGATCCCCCGATGGTGAACGGAAATCGACGAGTCAACACGAGGAGGAGAAGACCATCTTTTGTTGACAAACAAGTGAGGCAGGAAGTGTTTGCTGATGTAGGAGCGCCCACTAGCGGTTAACGGACGGTTGTTTTTTTTCTTCTCAGGGTGGCGAAGTCATGACCCGACCTACTCGGCCTCTGATTGGCTAGTTCTCGTCGCCTTCGTTGGTTTGATTGGTTAGATTTTGGCATGAGGGCTGGGATTGGTTGAGTGAGGGGCAAGAACGTCAGGGTAAGCCAATCAGAAGCAGAGTAGGGCGGGGCTTATTTATTTATTTATTTTTATTTTATTTTAAAGCATTTTTTTGGACAATACAACACAAAATATATCATAGATGCTGTTTACAGCCAGATGTAGTTATGTTACTAAAAAAAGAAAAAGAAAAGAAGAAATAAAAAGGAAATACATAAAACACAAGAGGTTAATCTAAGTGGGCAGAATATTAATGAGTTTACATAAATTGATCATTTTGGTTAA